GGGCGTGCCTACCACGCGCGACATCGTAGGCGAGAAGAAGTGGAATCGCACCTCTCGCGACTCGCGCGACGACTCGGATCGACCGAGCAAGAAGCATCGTGCCGACTCGCCGAACAGCAGCGACTCGGATTCGAGCACCGGCCACAAGGGCCGCAGACGCAAGCGCCGAGGCGACGGTAAAAACTCGCGCCCACACACCGGCTGGTCCCACTCCGGCAGCGCACCCGACGCCCCACCCCCTGGCGGGAGCAAGTTCTCCATGGGCGGCAAATTCGCCTCCAAACGCCCCGGCAGCTCGAGACCCAAGGATAAACGTCCCAAGCACCCCAGCTCCAAATCTGGCAAGGGCAGCAACAAGGGCGCCAACAAGAGCCCGAAGAGAGACGCAGCTCCACCGCAGCAGCAGCCTAAACCACGCGGAGGAGGAAGCAAGTATCGCGGCAGCTACTTTTAGACTCTCACCTTTATCATCGCATTTCAAGCATACAGTCGAGGCGATTCGCGCCTCTTCCTCAGACCATGTGTGCCGAGACTGGAATTGAATTCTGCTGTCACAGGATCGAGTGCGTGACTACTCGGGGATGTGCGGGACCGCAGGCTGGGCTGCATCGCGGACATCGGCACTGGCCCTGGTGACCGGCGCGGAGCTCGTTGCCGAAATCCTGCTGATGGCCGAGCCCCTACTTGTGCTTTCCGAGCGGTTGAATGCCGCGCCGCCGGCGTATCCCGATGAGTTGGACGGCCGTCTGGCTCGCAGCGCCGACGTGATCGATGGCGACCTGCCCTTGATTCCTGCCGTGATAGAGCCCCTGCGCTCGCTCAGCGGCCCCGCCGTGCCTGCAGCCCCCGACCCGCTCGCAGCAGCACTCGCCGAGGTGGTGGTGCGCGTGCTCGAGGTCGAGCGCCTTCGGCCCTTGAGACTCGCCACAATGCCGCTGCCAGGCGCGGTGGACGACGTGGACGGGCTTCTCCTGCGCTGTGCGGCATCCAACCTTGGCGGAAGCTCGCCGATCTTGCCCTGGTGTCGGAAGAGCTCGCCACCCATGACATCCAGCGGCTGGCTCGGGATGAGGGCGCGCTCCTGTGCACTGAGGTCCTGCAACGACATGCCGCACACGCAGAAGAGCTGCGACTGGCCACTGACCGCGGTGGATGTGCTTGTGCCGTTGGGTCCTGCCGTCGAGAAGCCACTTGTGGTGCTATTGCCGTGACTGAAACTCGCCGAGGCGTTTCCGTCGCTGCTCGGCGGGTGGTGCGCAAAGCTTGTCAGGTCGTACGGCATCTCAGCCCGGCGCGAGGACGGGTCCGGATCGGCCGAGTACGCCGGCAGGGTCACCGCATCGTAGGCGCAGCAACACGACGGCACCAGCACAGGTTGTCGAAGCGCGAACACCTTTAGCCTCCTCTCCTTGGCCTCCTCTTCTGGCGTTGTCGCCGTACTTCCGGGCGGCTTGCGGCTGTGCACGATCTCGACGACAATAATGTGGCTGAAGCGGATGCTTGCCTTGGAGGCAGCCACGGTCGAAGCGCGAATGTGGTTGTCGTCCGGCATGCGCGCGATGCCCTGCACTGTCCAGGCATCCTCTGTGCCCGAGTTCCGCACGAAGCCATCCGTCTTCTTACCGTCGCCGTGCGATCCGTCATTGTTCTTGGGCGGCACCCAGCCCTTTTCGAAGAGCTTGTGACGCTGGACGGGCACCGTCTGCTTGCCCTTGCGCTTGGTGCTGAGCTCGATGGTCGTCTCAAGCGAGACGCGCACCAAATACACAATGAGATCCTTCGGCGGGTTGGGCGAGTTGACGTCAATGTTGAAGACGCCGCCGACGGAGATGTTGTTGGATGTGCAAGCGATGGAGACCAGGCCGACCGTGGGATGCATGTCGTTGTAGAGCACCGTGAGAGGCGTGGGTCCACTGTCGGGCGAAGGATTGACCATTGGGTACAGGTCGCGCCAACACTCGACGTTCGACTTGGCTCGACCGGCTCCGATGGCGGTAGCCTTGATGATGTAGCGCACCCTGCCATAAGGCGAGCGCTCGTAAGGAGGAGCATCGCAGGGAATGATGAAGGCGAATTCGAAGCCGTGCACGCCCTTTTGCAGCTCGAGGCCGTCTTGGTTGGGCTCGGTTTCCCAGCCACCATCGCCCTCGGAGCCTGGCGTGACGACGACGCCTCCAGATGAGCCCGAGTGCTCCAAGGAAGGACGGTCGGCGGGCCCTCTGCGGCCCCTCTCGCCCTCCTCGTCGACCTGGACAAGGTCGCTCGTGTGAGCTGCGCTGCCGCGCCCGACAGGCACGCGCGATTTGCTGCGAGCCTTGCGAGAGCCGAAGAAGCCAATGGAATGGCTCCTGGATTTGGCCTTGCCCTTGTCGTCCTCGGCGTTAGCGTTGACGTGTAAGCCGGAAGACTGGGAGGAGGCCATTTCTGCTGGAGCTGCGCTCATGCTCCTGCGATTGGCGCTGGCATGGACAGCAAGCGACCTGCTCAGATGCGCAGCCAGCTCATCGGTCTCGCGCATTGAGGATCCGCGCTCGTCGGGTGGAGTGCGGTCGTTGGACAAGCTTGGGCGACGTGACCTTTGGGGCGTCGCGGAGATGCTCGGCGGTAGACTGTGCTCGGTGACCTCCTGATCCAAGGGAGCGGTGGAATCAGCACCGTTGCGCAGCGCCTCGGAGATAGCGTAGGCGTAGGTCGGAGGCGAACGCATGGACGTGCGGCCTCGCTCGGACAAGGGCGGAGCGCTGGGCGAAGAGGCGCGACTGGCGGGACGGCTGTTGGACGGGGAAGGGCTGTGACTGATTCGGCCCATGCCCGAGGCGAGCTTTCGACCTCTGGAGACGGCACGCGCCATCGAGGCCGGGATGCTGCCTCCAGGGCTGTGCGATCGCATGCCGAAAGCGGAGCCCGAGCGACCGGAGCGGTCCGGAGTCGCGGAGCTTCGTCCGCGTTGCTGCTGGGCATGTGAAGGGGAGCCGACCTGATGGCTCGGTCCCGCGGAAGCCGAACGGTGGTTGAAAGACAGCAGATAATGGTGATTGTGGTTGTGATGCTTATCGCTCTGGATGCCGATCTCGACGACCTTTTCGAGGACGGTGGAGTCCTCCCAGCTGATGGGTGTGAGGCCAGCCGATGGATCGAGGATGGCGATGGTCTGGACTGCCTTCAGACGGACGCGGATACCCGAGATGTGGCGGGTGGATGGGACGTAGAGTTCGACGAGACCTCGCACGATCTCGTCGTTGGCCATGGGCGGCCTCTCGTGGCTCTCTGGCAGTGGGCGATCGGGTGGGTGCAAGAAGACGGCATTTTGAAGCAAGTGGAGCTTGAGCTCGCAGGGCTGGAAGAAGGTGGAGAACATGGTTGCGCGTGCGGTGCTGGCAGGACTGTGTGAGCTGGAGAAGCAGGGCTCTCACCGCTATACGTCGTCCGAATGCAAGCGTTGCGGCAAAAGGAAGCTAGTCGCTATGAGCGCATGTGCCAGATAGGCCGCAGCTGGCTGGCGGCAAACGATGCGCCGCGGTCGGTCGGGTCTTTGATGCCGCTCGCGATGTTGTGGTCGGGATGAAAGCGACGAGTGAAGCAAGGAGATGATGATGTGTCGAAAGGAGGATGTCGAGATTGAATCGAAAAGAAGCTGTACTGTTGGGCTGCACCGGTCGAGGCGGCTCTTGTGGGTGAGCTGTGCGGCTTTGCGTTCAGGGTCGCAGACGCATGCACCTCCGTCGCGGTGGACCGTGATCCGAGGAAATCGCAGCTGCAATCTGGCGAAACCGAGAGTGGCTTCCGCTAAAATTCCCGATGCGTTGCAGCTTCTGAGGCCAAAAAAAAGGCTGGTTCGCAACGCAAATCTTGTCCACACCTCTGCCTGCCAGATTGTTGCCCTCTTTGCCGCTCTTCGGCCTCGCTTAGCACACTGCCGTCGGCGAAAGCGGCGGCCGCACCACGACGAATCACGCACAGGGGTCCGAGGGTTTCCATGCGTCCGTCGCTGCACCGCAGCCGCTGAAGGCGAACATCTCCCTGAGCCAGATGGACGCGCTCGCACCCGGCTGCAGCTCTGCTGCGAGGCTACTTGACCGGCCCCGCCAGCGTTTCACTCGGCTGCAAGTTGGAGGCGTCCCGAGCTGAGTCGAGGGAAAAGCGGAAACGGAAATTTGCACTGTTAGGTTGAAACCGATCGAGCGGGTATCGGGCCCAAACAGAGACCGGATCGCGATTATGCACAAAATGGATTTTGACAGGCCCAAAGGAGCAGGTTGGACGAGGATCTGCAGGTACCCCTGAGCCAGCCGAGCGTAGGTTAGAGAACGGGTCGACAGCCGTCTTGCAGCTTAGAGTTGACTACGAATCCAGCTCCGCTCCTCGACATGCCGTCGTACCACCTTGCGTCGCTCACACGAGCCCCTGTGTACGTCGGCCTCTTATCACGCACGCACGCACGCACGCACGCACGCA